GTTATTTTAGGTCACCACATATACCAGCAGACAGAACCCATTTTAGATAAATCAAGTTTATCAAGATCATTTTGAAATTCTGTTTTTGTCTTCCATGTTTTCAGAAATTACAATCATTTTGTTATCATTCACAAGCATAAAGTTCTTATTTCACCAACACCCAGAGTACTGAGAAAAAATAAATTAAAACAAAGTTCTACAGGGTACTTTCATATCACTGTTTGACCGCTGAGTAGGTTATAAGTCTATAGTAATATCATCTAGGACATATCTCCTAGGATTACTATTCATTTTAGGAATAAAGCATGTTCACATTTTAAAGTCTCATATTAACAGTGATCATAAAACCATCAGAAGCATATGCTGATTCAATATATTGAATGGAAAGGAGAAAGGAACTACTTACTAAGTGCCAATAATAAATAGTACTCAGAACCTATATTATGAGCTAATTCTAAAACCTCTCTGAAGTATATTAATATTCTTTGTTAATTAAAAAAGAAAAAAATCTGAGACATTAAGCAACTAATACACATCTGATATTTCTTAAGAAATGAAATCTGTGTTAAAAGGTATGAGTATCTGAATTAATATTTTGTTACATTTCTTTCTGTCACATATACAACTGATAACCACTTTAGTTCCATGTACTTACCATAATCTCACTAGCATTGAATCATTATTTTTGCCTTCATTTTCAGCCATATAAATTTTTCTCAATTGCATTTCTTGATTACATGTATGGCTATATTGAACTTGTTATTCATGGGTACTGACTTCTTATAATCATGCTATTTTATTTTTATCTAGTTTTTGTTAAGTCATTTTATTTCCTGGCTATTACTCAGGATGTCACTTATTGTCAAATACTTATTGAATGTCTATCCTATGTCAGGCGTTTTGTCAGATGCTAAGAATCATATTGTTGAACAAAAGTTTCAATTCATGCTTTATCAAATTTACAAGCCAGTGGAGATAACAGACACTGAACAGATGAGTGGAATGAGAAGAGCAGTTAGCCTTAGTGGTGTATAAAAAGACCCATTAAAATCTAGAAGTTTGGCTAGATTTAATCCCAGCCACTTGGGAGGATGAGGCAGGAGGGTCACAAATTCAGAGGCCAGCCTCAGCAACTTTGGAAGACTCTGTCTCAAAAAAACATAAACACACAGGGACTAAGGGTACAGAACTGATCAGTGGTACAGCACCTAGGATCAATCCCAAGTACTGCATCAAAAAAAGAAAAAAGAAAAATCCAGGTGCCATGATGCACAACTGTAATCCTAATAGCTCAAGAGACTGAGGCAGGAGGATTGAAAGTTCAAAGTCAGCTTCAGTAATTTAGCAAGGCCCTAAGCAACTCAGTTAGACCCTTTCTTTAAAAAAACGGGGTGGGGGGGCTGAGAATGTGACTCAGTTGTTAAGTGCCTATGGGTTCGATCCCTGGTACATAAAAGTAAAATTTAAAAAAAAAAGAAAGAAAAAGAAAAAAAATCTGCAAGTTCAAGAAGGATTTCCCTGAGGAAAAGACTATCACCAAAAAAAGATGAATAAAAATCAGTTAGATAGAAAGAAGGCTGGTAACAACACAAGAAAGAGCATTAAAGAGAAAATGCCATCTACTGGTTTTAAAAGCTTTTTAGGGTTGTTTTTGTTTTGCTGCAGTGTTGGGGATTGAATCCAGGGCCTTACACATGCTATGTAAATGCTCTACCATTGAGCCACATTCCCAGCCCTATGGTTCATTTTCCTTAATAGATATATTAGAATTCATCTTTAATGTCACTTATTATAAACATCATTTCTCTTTTACATGGTATCTTTGCTTGGACAGTCTTCTGCTTTCAAGCAAATTATAATAACTGCCTCTTTTTACGTGAACTTAAAAAAAAAAAAGAAATAAGCAACTTATGGTCTAAGGGATTCAAAGACAGCCAGAATCTAAGTTCTATATTACTGTCTATGTCCTAGAAGTTTTTATTTCTAGGTTTAATCAAGTTAGCTGTACATAACTGGGTAACAACATTGTTGAGCCTCCGTTTCCTCATCTGGATAATACGATTTATTAAGTGAGAAAATTCATGTTAAGTGTTTTTTTTTTTTCTAGAACCTAAGCACAATAACCTCACTCAATAACTATTAGCACTAGTCAAAGTTAGACTTAAAAAAATAAGAAATCAAAGTCAGGTCTGATTCACAAGTCCATGCTCTTTCTACTAAAATCTGCTACAGATTATGGGGATAGTTCTTAGCTATATAAGAATCAATACATTAAAAAAAAATGACAGGAAAGGGACAATATCTAAATCTATTAAGAGCTAACTAAACCAACTTAAGTATTTTAGCTCTAATATCTGAAAAGCAAGATCATATAGTTCATTAGAAAATACTGTTTAGACATTCAGGAATACATAATTTGTTCTAATCACTATTACTATTTTCCTACCCATACAGGAATTTACTCTATTTAAAACCACTTGTAGGGGCTGGGGTTGTGGCTCAGTGGGTAGAGCGCTTGTCTAGCATGGTGAGGCACTGGATTCGATCCTTAGCACCACATATAAATAAAAAAAAAAGCCAAAAAAAAAAAAAAAAAAAAAAAAAAAAAAAAAAACACTTGTAAATTAAAATTTTAATTACCATAAGTTATCTAAATAAAGCTTACTGGCTGGTCTGGACAAAGAAATCAGTACTCCTACAACAAAGCACTACATCAACTTGAAGCCTGACGTTATTTTCAAAATAAACTAATTTTTTATTATACTACTTAATTGAAGCAATCAAATAGTATCACTTCCTGCCCATTCCTGCAGTACTGTTCTAAGAATGTTTAAAAAACCTCACTTAACTATTAATCCTCTCTCTGCCTGACCTAATGGTATACAATGCCAAAAAAAATTAAAAAGTTACATTCTGACACCTTATCTTTCAACATATTACATGACACATGTGCCACCTCAGGACTCCCCCAACAAAACTAGATATAGCCTCTTAACCTTAGAACAGAACCATGAGCCAAAATAAACCTCTTTTCTTTATAACTCAAAAAGGAGAAAAAAAATTATCTTCTACAACAATCATTAATAATAAGTTTACTGTTTCAAAGAACTTCCAGGAACTATGTGCCTTTAAAAAGAGGTTGCTGAAGCTAGGTTTGGTGTCACATGCCTGTAATCCCAGGGACTCTGGAGGCTGAGGTGAAAGAATCACAAGTTCAAGACATATAGAGTGAGACCCTGCCTCAAAATAAGATTTCTAAAAGGGCTAAGGCTGTAGCTTAGTAACAAAGCATTTGAAACATTTAGAGTACATGATGCCCTGGGTTCAGGTGTGGGATTAAACCAATATGGTATACCCACACACATGTATTCTAGCAACTTTAGCCTATTCAGCAAAGCAACATACAAGCCACCAGAACAAAATTAATGCATGTGCCTTAACAAAGAAGCTGAGTTTTAACCAAGGGAGAAAGCACAGCACTTTTAATTATGTACTCGCCCTTCAAAAGAATCACAGAACACCTTAATTTTAGCAAAAAAAAACCTTTTGAAGACAGTGCATTTCTTAAATTCTAACTTCCTGCCTCATAGATCTAAAATAGCCATTACATACTCAAGTATGCTCTACTCATTTAGTTCAGAATGGTATAGAGGAACACAGGTTTCTAGGTTTACAACTCCATACCCATTCATTTTGCACTAATATAACCACTAAATATAGCTCTAAGACACTGATGATTAGAAGTGGTTAATTACAAGAATGATTCATACCTCCTATGTCCAGACACCAAGATCCTAGGATGTTTCTGTCAGATCTATGGGAAGAGGAAACAATAAACACCTGTCACCAGAGCTTTCCAAACTGGGAAGCCCCGAACTGAGTTACTGTCAATTCCCAATCCCATTCCCCGACTCTAAAATCACCCCTAGTCCGCCCCCCAAAACCCAGAGGCATGCTTCCACCAGAATCTGACCCTGTGAAGAAAATGGGAAAGAAATGCCACAGAATGGCCAGGAAAGTACTAAAGTAAATGGCTCTGGGTTTTTCTAGTCCATACTACCAGAGTAGGAAAGGGAGGCCTTAACAAAGTAGTCGCTTTTCCTCTCTGGGCATTAGTTTATACAATGCGGTGTAAGGCAAGAGACTCTACTAATCCGCGGGTGAAGACGAACATGGATTCCTATAGTCAGCACCCGCACAAACCCATCAAGAGCCCTGCCAACACTCCATCTTCGACCACGCCATCTCCTGGACTTTTCTGGAGGCCCTGGATCACCATCCCGCGCCCTGGCGTCCTCGCACACTTGCCCTCCTCACACACTTGCCCTCCTCGCAAGCGGCGGGTCCACACCAGGCCATCGCACCCAACACGTGGACCCTTCTTCCTCGCCTCACCTGTCCTAGATTCCGGAGTCTTAGCGCCCCCTCCCCATCACACACACCTTCCCGGACAAGTGATGCCCAATTCCGGCTCGAGGAGGCAGCCCGTAAACTCACCTGGCACCCGCCATCGACAATATCATTGGCCTGCTAGAGCCTTCCCCATCGCCACCACCCACCCGGCCCGCTCCCCGCTCGCTGGAGACACTC